TCGAACACCATGAGAGTGGAGTGCGTTTGAGCGAATGTGAGGAGATGCGCTTCAGGCGCTCTTCATCACACACAGGGCCCAATGCGATCCTCAAGAATGACGTAACCTCTGCTGCTCTGATCTCCCGCTTGGCCAGCATTTCACCATCTGCAGATATGGGGGCCTTCAGAAGCGGACCCTCAACTTTGCCTTGGACCTCCATGCCTACTGCGCTGAGAGCGTCGAGAGCCGCTGACACCCACTGGGTGCCAGTGACGCCCATTGCTGGGATCAGCACCGGGAGGAGCTTCTTGGATCGTGCCGTGACGCTGTTGGTCTTATGCATCCCGAGATACAAGACAACATACCCTGAAGAATCGTTGAACTCATGCTCAATCCACTGAATGTCCGAAAGGTCGCTGTTCCTACAACGGCCATACAGGGCAAAAAGGCATCTGGCCGACATGGCACGATCGAAGCTGTGGGCTCCCCTATCGTCCACCATGGTGTGCAATCGGCGTGTTTCACCCACTGTCAGCTCTTCAGCTTGGCGCAACCATTGAACTCCAACTGACATTAATTTGTTCGGCGATCCCACACACTCGCCGGCTCTGCAAGACGTCGTCCAAGTGGAAACCAAGCACATGATGAAGGAAACGCATCGCACTGAGGACCCCAGCCCCTTTCGAGGCAGCCGCACCCGCCTTTTTGAGGTCGGTCATATACGCCCACAGCACCGCCTCTGATAAGCAGTCCGAATCTGACGCGGGGCCGTTAAGGTACCATCTGAGAAATGTGTTGAAGGCATTTGCACGCTTGTCTATTGTCCAAGGGGAGCGAGTACCGACGGCAGCCGTCACTGATTCTGGATCGACCTTCCCGCTGCGCAGCAGTGTACAAGGAACTAAGTTCTGGGGCACAAGCCGAATGCCCGCAACCAACTTACCTAAACTAACCTCCAAGACTTCAGCACGTCTTTCGCGGAAAGACAGGTTCTTAGTGGCTTTGATGGCCACCGCAAAAATTGGCTTACCTTGAAGATACACCTTGGCACTGACAGACACGTAGGTTGTCTCTTGATGGGCTGGCTCCTGGGCCACAAGGAGCTTTTTAGCAATCAAGGGCATCTTAGGTACTGTTGGCAGTGATGGCAGAGATTCGCTGAAAACGGAACGCATAGGGCCGCGCTCCCAAGGAAACTGCAGTTTGCTCAAGGATGGATTCGAGACCAACTCGGACGACACCACGGCAGCGACATCAACGAGCGGTGCTATCTCGGACTCGTGAAGGCTGGCAGCGAAAGTCCTGGTTACAGGAGGTGTGCTCAGGCTTTCATCTGAACCCACCGGTCGCCAAGAGGAGCTGGAACCGGCAGCGAGCTGCTCCAGGTGTTTATCGAACTCACTCAAAAATCCTTCCTCGGTTTCAGCTACTTCCCTGTAATGCTTCCATTCTGCGGAAGCATCACATCCTTCTTGCTCTTCCCAAACATCCGGCTCCAAGTCTGGTGAGGGATCCACATTTAGAGGTTCGGGTTGTCTCGAAGTGCTTGCCAGGCCTAAACCACAAGGAAATTGTAGGTCTACACCGCTAGCAACCGCAGGGGGAGTGGTGGAAACTCGGGTCGGGACTCCGGGGCCTCTCCACTGACCACACCACCGAGCGGTTGCTCGTTTGACGGCACAAGCTGTTCAGAAGGATCTAGAAGATTCTGCACGGATCCGGAGTCACTCATCGGCTCGACTGATAGTACAGGTGTAACTGCAACCCCTGGCACACGCTGGTCTGCTGGCAAAGTCGTTAAAGTCGCAACCTCTGGCACAAGTTGGTCCGAAGGTAAAACCGCAACCCCCTTATTATCCGAGGTGACGCACAGAGTGGCATCAGGCACTGAGTGGGCTGCCGCCGGCGGGCGGCCGGGCGTAGCCGGCGCACCTGTGGTGGAGTCAGACATGACGATATTGCAGGGCGGGGTCACGCAAGGCAATGCGGTAGAATGACGTGCGGGCCGGATCTAGCACAAATGCAGCTGACTGCAGAAGGGCCCCTCGCGCACGAAAGGAAAGAAAATTAAGCAGCACGGCGCAGGGCCGAGGGCTGAATGTGATATCCCCGAGATCCACAAGAACCAAATCAGAAGTAGAAGTATTGGCACTGGCGGGACTGTTCGAGGCCGACGGCAGATAAGTCGGGCGCAAGCGATATTCCAAAACTGTAACCCTGAATTGCAAGGCAGCAATCTGATCCTGCAAGTCCTCTCGCAGCAAGCGGAGGTCCTCTGACAGCACGGCGCTGGGACCCACAGAGGTGGTGTCACTCATGAGGCACAAGGCCGAGGTCCCTAAGAGACTACTAGAAGTGTGGAATGACGATGTGAGTATGCAACACGAACACAAAAATTTCTGCCCATGCCCATGTTGCATGCTGTTTTCACGTGCTCCCTTGAGCATGTCCTCGCGGCGGCGTACACCAGCATTCACAAGTTCAGGCTGCACGCAAGAAGTGTTCAAGGTTGCTCGAAACATAAAATCACTTTGCAAATTTTCTTTCCAACTCAATCGGAAGAAGTAAAACTAACCTAGTTTTACAAAACAACATCGTAAATTAAAGCGCTATCAACCCGTTGACCGCTAGCAAGGTGTGGAAAACGCTCGGAAACCTGGAGGAAACCGCAGGAAACCCATGGGAAACCCATAGGAAACCACAGGAAACCAGCGGAAACCAGACCGGAAACCATCGGAAACCCCTATGAGGGGACAGATTCACCCTTTGAGCATTTGCAAAAGGTTAATGCAAACTGGAAGGGGGTGAACTGCACCGTCGACAGCACTCCACACTTCATCATCCCAGCCAATCGCAGTATTATTATACTTCCACTCGTGCCCAAAGGGTGAACAAGTTCTTCCGGATCTGTGTTTTGGAGAGCACGCACGGCAAGACAAGAATGCTTTCACATTGCTGATGCACCTAAATTGAAGTCCTTATGTAACTGAGGTCTCAGGTATATGTATAGTTTATACTAATATGGCTAATATACTGATTACTATGTACAGTCATGTACAGCAGCTGCAGCAACTCTGGAGGCCCCTGCGCAGCAGTCACCAACATCCTGACAATTTCCGGACCCAGAAGTGGGCCCGTGGAAGGCGCTTCAGAATCTGAGTTTGCTTCAGCAGCGGTTCGTTGAGTCCGCCGCCGTGGCTGTGGCCGCTCGGTGATTGGACGTGTCCAGCGTCAGGCATATATTTCCAAGGCAATCGAGAAGAACTGGAAAACCAGGTGTGGGCCCACAATGTTTGGAGCTTTCACAAGGTTTTCTCATTACATTCATTACATTGAGGTCTGGGGCCGACCTTGTTGTCGTCGGCGACATGCTGCGCAACACGCAGGTGTCCCGCCCAAGTGGTAAGGCCGAGCGAGCCGGCCCGGCTGTTGTTGAGAGGCTCAAGGGTTGTGGCGTGCCCGCGAGCCGTGCAAGGGTTGTCAGGAGGCCGTTGCTCACATGTGATGATGACTTCGGCGACTTCGGGGCCTGCGCGGTTGGTTCAAGCCCCAGCAGATGTTCGCGAAACTTGCACTTGAAAAGATTTTCTCGGCCCTTTCTCGTGGAGACTCGCATACATTAGGTCTTGGTAGCCTCATCCTTTGCTGTCAATCACTTGGCAAGAACACATGCCGCAATTTGATTTTTTGAACCGAAGATGCGTTCAAGACAAGCAGTGACTGGGTGCTACATTTTGGAGTTATCCAGCTGCATCTTGCTAACCAACTGGTAACATTGGACGGTATTCCTTGATCCGCGTCCAGATTTTTGCGACTCCGACAACGAGCTCGAAAGTGGTTCCCCGCGAACAAATGCGGCCCCAAAAAATGGGGCCGTTTTCTGAACCTGCGGGAATTGTGCCAATATTAGATGGCTCCAATAACGGGTCCGAATTCTGGACCCGGTTTTGGCCCCGCTCTTTACCCGGAACTTTGCCCTTTTATTGAATTCTCAATTCACAAAGAACTTCAAAGAACGGCCGCCAACAGGTGTTGTGAAAGTCACAACCTCTCCTCTTTTTCAGCAGCCACAACAGCGACTACAGCTTGAGCATCTTGATCTGCTGCAGATTCTGAGGCAACGACAGCACCGATATGGTGTAGCTGAGCTATGAAAATCAACAAACTAAAGAAGATCTCCCGGCACTCTGGAGGCCCCTTCACAACAGCCACCACAATCCTGACAATTTCCGGACCCAGAAGTGGGCTTGTTGGAAGCATTGCAGAATCTGAACCTCGCCGCCTGCTTCAGAAACTTCGATTATGTCTTGGCCTGCTCCGAACGCAGTCATGACTACACGAGCCACGCAGAGCATTGCCAAGATCCGGCGTCGCAGGAAATCTATGGGAAACCCATAGGAAACCACAGGAAACCATCGGAAACCAGACCGGAAACCGTCGGGGAAACCCCTACCCTTTGAGTATTTCAAAAGTTCATGCAAAGGGAAGGGGTGAACTGCACCGTCGACAGCACTCCACACTTCATCATCCCAGCCAATCGCAGTATTTTGCTTCCACTCGTGCCCAAAGGGTGAACAAGTTCTTCCGGACCTGTGGTTTGGAGAGCACGCACGACAAGACAACAGAGGTCTCACGTGCAAACTTCTGTCGACTTTTCTGTACATATTAGTTTCCACGACAAAGAGCCAAGACAGCTTTTCAAGTGCAAGCGTTGCGAACATCTGCAGGGACTTGAACCAACCGCGCAGGTCAGGCTAGGAGCAGTTGTAAGTTTCTTGCGCCGAAAAAAAGTAAGTCCCAGTGGGAACGGGCAAGATGACGTGAGTCAGTCAAACATGTAACATGTGACCAATCTTGGTGACTTGAATGCGTTGCTGATGTGAGCACGCTGCAGCTTCAAGAAGCCTTCTGGCATGCTCAACACGTTGGCTCAAGTGTGCCAGCAAGAAGAAAAGGACGGCTTACCGGAGAAGTCAGCATACTCGACTTTGCGCTTGAGTGCCAAAAGTGACAGTCACGTCAGTCTGCTCGCCTGCCATTCTTTTTTCTTCATGGGTAGACCTGGGCGGGCGCAGAACGGGTTCGCACACAGGATCTTGGCGACACTTTGCATGGCTCGTGCAGTCATGACTGCATTCGGAGCAGGCCAAGACATAGTTGAAGTTTCAAAGGCAGGTGGCAAGGTCAGATGCCCACTTCTGGGCTTGGAAATTCATGAGAAAACCTTGTGAAATCCAAAACATTGTGGGCCCACACCTGGTTTTCAAGTCCTTCTCGATTGCGGAAATATATGTCTGACACTGGACACGTCCAATCGCCGAGCAGCCACAGTAGGGGAGCAGGAAAGGGCTAGGAGCCACGCGAAATGGCTTCCCCCCCGCGACGATAGCCTCACCGAGACAAGGGATAGCGCACAGACCGTTGTCGGTGCTGGCGAGTAGCCCGGCTGTTGTTGGACGGGTGACGGGGTGCCGGCTAGTCTTCCTCTAGCAAGGGCTTGGGAGAGACTGGCGGAGCATAGGTTTTTGGAGTGTCCTGGGGGGCCCGGGGGGTGAAACACTGAATGTTACACATCCAGGTGCCTGTCTGTTTCACGTATCACTTGCATGTATCCATGCCTGTTGCTCAAGGTTCTAGTGCAGTGGACTACAGCTGTGCGACTGTAGTAAAAGAGACACCTGAGTGCCTGTGTTCCTGTACGCCTAGCGAGGGGATACACGTCCAGGTTACATCTCAACGTGGTAGCGGAGCACCCGGGAAACGGGAAGCTTCACACTTGTGGAGGTACCCGTTCGGTACTCTCTACACAGGTGGAGGCAACCGGAATACCCGGTGTGATTCACTCAGGTGAAGGTGACCGGAGTCTCTCCGGCACACTTCACTCAGGTGAAGATAACCGGAAGAGGTTTCTCCCGGGGCTCGATCCAAGAACAGTGCAATGGCTAGCCACTGTGCGACTATCTTTGAGCATGAAGGAGGAGATGAAGACTACCTCCTCCACGGCAATGAATCTTTCGCGACTAATCATCGTCATCTCAATGAACTACACCGTCTTTCAGCTTTCCAGCAGGTGACCACCAAAGTACCTCCATCTTACGATGGTAGAAGCAGTTGGTTTGCCTATGAAGATGCGATCGATGACTGGTGTGACATTACTGAGCTAGACAATGATAAGCGTGGACCAGCTTTGAGAAATCGGCTAGAAGGTGAAGCAGCAATCCACAAGAGGCTTCTCGACAGAGATCGCCTGAAGGACCCGAACAACGGAGTGAAGTACTTCAAGAGTTTCCTGCGGCCGCTTTTCGTGAAGGGAGCAGCGAATGTTTTCCTCTATCGCTTCCAGCAGTTCATGAACATGCACCGTGGGAATGGAGACATGCTTCGTTGGATTACCAGGTTTCAACTCTCTGTTCAGAGAATGCAAGAAGCGTGGAACGATACTTATCTGCCGATCGAGGACCCGAACAATGCAGAGGTCAGAGCTTTCATAGCAGGACTTCCACCAGAAGAACAAGAAGGAATCACGCCAGTTCAGGCAATGGAGAGAGCCAACGAACGGCTCAGAGAGCAGCATGCTCGGACTATTCCGATCACGGCCAATCTCGTTGCTTTGATTTTTGTCTCTCTGTCCGACTTGACGCAGGATCAGCGGCAGGTGTTGACATCGTTGATGGCGCATCGGAACCGAGTTCTAGCTGACTACAATACGACCGAACTGCGTGAAGTCTACCTGGAGATCTTCTGCACGACCAAGACTACCGTCGACAACCCACTCCTCGCTCCTTCGGGCCACGGTGGCCGTAAGACGTTCCTTGTGATCGATGAAGGATTTCTGGACAATCACGAAGGCTACTGGGTCGAGGACGAGGAGGATGGCACGGAAGGTTTTCTCGAAGCGGATGAGGACGCCTTCTGGGTCTACGACGAAGAGAACTACTCATGGTTCCAGCGGCGTTTCCAAGGCTGCAAGATGAGGCGCGGATTCAAGGGCCACCGCAAAGGCAAAGGAAAAGGTGGCAAAGGATCCAAAGGAAGGCGCTTCTTCAAAAGGAAGAAAGGCAGGTCACATCTTGCCGAAGAATCAGAAGCATGGCAAGCAGAAGGACAATGGCAAGATTACCAGTGGAACGATCAGTCCTGGGATGACTGGTCCTGGTACGAGTCTGAGGAATCCTATGCAGCCAAAGGAAAAGGAAAGAAAGGAAAGAAGGGCAAAGGAAAGAGCAAGTTTGGCAAGGATGGAAAAGATGGAAAGTCCGGAAAAGACGGACAGAGCCAGCTTGCTGATGCTGCCCCGAGCGGCACCACAGCCGCCACAACCTTCTTCGTTGAACATCTCAACACTCCGAACTTTTCTTTCATGGCCACCGAAGAGAAGATCAATGAGATCGAGGAAGCCTTCATCTCTCAGCCCTTGACGCCAACCGCGATGGTGTTGGACTTGGGATGTACGAGAGCAATGGCTTCGAGAGTGGCCGCACAGGACCTCATGGAGTTCTGTGACAAGAACCAGAACTGTGGCATATGGTACACCGTAGCTGAGACTACTTCTCAGTTCACTTTTGCCAATTCCGAGTCGACCAAGTGCAACCAGAAGTTGGTCATTTGCATGTACGACCGGGATTATGCAGTTCAATCCACAGAGTTCGACATTGTGGAACAAGGACATGTTCCCATTCTCATGTCTCTACCTCAGATGCGCAATCTTCGGTTCCAGTTCGAACTTCATCCGGAAAAGGCCTTGCTCAGCAGCCCTGTGCTGCGAATTAAGGATGTGAGGCTTAAGGTTGCACCTAGCTCACACCTGGTACTTGATCTTCTGGAACTCAGTCAGTTGATGTGGAATGTGCGTTTCAGCAAGCATAAGAAGTCGAGCTTCCTCACCTACTTCTCCCACTGCGAGTACGGCTTCCATCAGAAGACCGAGGGATGCTGTTCTCATGAACAGGTACCCGACAATCTCGTGTTGGCGACAGATGATGAATGGGTGATCAACGAAGCCGACATGGAAATGATTCGCATCCACAAGAAGATGAGAAGAGTCAAGTACGAACCCAAGGCGGGTTATGTGCCAATTCCGTTGGAGTATCTGGACACCAAGCGCAAGACGATCATGGAGTTCTCCAAGGGAAAGAGCGTTACTCAAGAAGATGACTGGCGTTCTTCTGAGCCTTCTTCAACAAGGACTACTGATTCTTGGAAAGGCAAGACCATTTTCAAGATTCTGCCTGGTGGCATCGAGAGTAGAACCTCGGTGCCAGCTAAGTCCAAGGATCCAACCCGTGGAAAGGTAGGATCTCCAGAGGACATGGTTAGCGCAGGTAAGCCTGAAGACAGCTCGAAGAACACAGGAGCATCCGGAAGCTTTCCACAGGGAAAGGCACCGGCAAAGAGAAGGATTCGAGCCAAGGGAAGCTTTCCACAGGGAAAGGCACCCGAGGAACCGGCTCCTCCTCCTCTTGCTCCTGAGGATGATCCGGATCTTCAAGAGTACGAACCTTCCGAACCGGGGGATGCAGATTTGCTTCCTCCGCAGGCCCCAGAGCCACAGTCGCTAGAACCTAGGAGGATCGCGCTTCCGTTGCCAGGCCACGGGGTCTCAAGGGCTTCTCCGCAGTATCAGCGCATGTTGGAAAAGCTGAACAATGATGTTGAGCTTTACAAGTTGCATGTGAAGCATTACCACATGAGTCGACCGGCAGTGTGGAGGTTGCGCTTGAGCTTGGGGGCCCCCCAACAAAAGACCCGCGCACCTCCATCATCGGCCAGCACTGGGCGGCCCTCGGCAAAGTTTTGTGCGCGCTGCCGGACCGAGCAGCTCCAGCGGCAGGACCGGTGGAAGGTCATCTGCTCAGTTTCGACGCAAGACCAGCATGCTTGGTCTGCCAGGAGAGATCTATGACAAGTACGACCGCATTGTCAAAGGCTGTCGTGTTTGCAGCACCTCAGTGCCTACGCCTCCGCGAGCCAGAATCGCAGGGTTAAGAGCATCATCCTTCGGTGATCTCATTTTTGTTGATCACGAAGAAATCAAGTTCGGTACTAAAGCCTACTTGGCTTTGGTCATCATTGATGGTGCTTCAAATCTTCTGTGGGCTACGGCTCTCACAAGCCTGGAAGCGCCAGAGACTCTGGGAGCTTTTCGACAATGGACAGAGGAGAACAACTGCGTTCCTAAGGGAATCGTAGGAGATCAAGCATTTTTCACGCCGCAGTTCATGTCTTACTACAAGTTTCCATGGCATTACTCCATATCCATGTGGACCACGGACTCCTTGGCCTAATCGAGCTGAGACCGCAGTGCGCCTCTTTAAGGGCACATGGGCCATTATGGCCAAGGCCTTAGCTGATGAAGGTTATGCAGAAAAGGTGACTGTTCGTCAAGCAGTCAAGAAAGTGGCATGGGCAAGAAATTGCCAGCTTACTGTCTCAGGCTATTCTCCTTTGGAGATAGCCACTGGAAGACGTCCACCAGACTTGTTTGACGTTGAGAACAGTTCTCCTGAACAGCTCTCGGCTGAACCTGCTGAGGAGGATCGAACCACTTTGGAACTTCAGAGGATTGCCATGCGGGCTCATCAAGAGGCCAGACAATCACTCGACCTTCGGAAGGACCTTGCACGAAGAGTCATGCCGTCTGATGGTCCTTATTCGAAGGGTGACCGCGTGTTCGTTTGGCATAAGGATGAGTCGAAGAAGAAGTCTGAAGGAACCTGGGTCAGAGGCATAGTTGTGTCACAGGAAGGTGCCATGGTGTTGGTTGAAGTTCATCGCGCCGTTCTTCGGGTTAATCAGTCGGTGTTCTCACGCCTTGAGCCGAACCTTCGAGCCTTGAGGGTTAGGGATGGGTTAAAGGGAAATCAAAAATCACTGGAAAACGCTGACGTCCAATCATATCCACAATCACGAAGCTCCAAGCTAAAGCTCAAGTGAAGACAAGCGGAATCAGCAATCGTTCAATCTCCAATCACTGCGCTTCAGAAGTGAGGCTGCCGAAGATGCCAGATGTTTTCAATCGGTGCGTCGAACTGATGCCTGTACCTCGAAGCGATGCGCCACATGTTCACATGACGGTCGCAGTTGCCTCGAGACCCCCGGTGTGGGAGGGTGGGTCACAAAACAACTTGAGTCGTGACTCTGCAGTCGTAATCTCATTCACACTGTACAACCGATCATGCAGCACTGCATTGTTCAACAGAAAATCATTGGCTCCAAGTGAAAACTTCATGCACATCCGCATAAATGTGAAGCATCCAGAGCTGGTACGTTTTTCCCCCCCACCCCCCCTCAAGGCTTACGAACACACTTTTGGTAGGACCCAAGCAGCGTGTTCTCACGCCTAACTGCGGTTCAGGCAAGACTCGGGCATCGCAACGAAGTCCCGATCTGCGTCCAGTAACGTCTTTGGTTGTCGGTGTGAGACCGAACCTAAAAGGTCAAACATGAAGCTACAAGCAGAGGACGTGTGACAACTGTACAATCCAAGGTGCTTGAAGCTGAGGCATGAGAGACCAAACAAAGAGTCGTTGAGGCCAGATTAGCCGAAACATGGGAAACTAAGGCTCAGGAGAGCCGAGAAGAAAAGTGAGCCTTTGGCTCGGGTTTGCTAGAAGGAGAGGTGCAGGGCTACACAGCAAGCACAAACTGCCTAGCGAGGGCCTAAGCAGCATCGAAGTGACGTGCGGAGCAGCTGTACACCTCTACGGCTTCAGATGGGCTCGACGTGGGAACTCAGAGGGACACAGCAGCGCGCCTCAGCCAGCAGCCCACGCCCCGCAGCACGCCACCGCAGCCAGCAGCCAGCGGCAGCAGCCAGAAGAAGTGGAGCAGCACGTAGTTCCCCGAGAGAGCCACCGTAGAAGCCGTCAACGATGCAAATGTTCAGTGTTGTAGCGAGTTTCACGGATCATCGTGAATGAGACGGGCCGGCAGCCTCGCACGAAGGTTCTGTGCCAAGACGTTGGAGGCACCAGCAGAAGCCAGGATGGCCCCCCGCTCCCAAAGCGCTGCACGATGAAGCTCTGCATGCCAGCTCACCCTGCCCGATCCACGAGCCCGGTGCTCGCGAATGCTGTTGGCCGCCGCATCGGCCCGTTCGTTAAGGTCCCTGCAGCGATCAGCCGTGAGGCCCCAGGGAGCAGTCCAGTTGGGCCGCCGACCATGTGCAGGAGTCCACGAAAGCTTGAGGTCCAAGCCACCGGCACTCACATCACGCAGTAGCCTCGCAGCCTTGTGAGCCAGGAGAGGCATAGAGCACGCCTCAGGTTGGGCCACAGCCTGGAGAGCAGAGCTGCAATCCACCAGGATGCCGACCTGACAGCCTGGGGCCAACTGTGCACGAGAGATCGCTTCGAAGAGGGTCGTCAAGGTGAGGAGCTCACATCGGAAGGCCGACTGGTCCTCACAAGCATCACCGAAGACGAAGGTGCCGTCGCCGCTTCCGAAGATCACGGCACAGCCGCCGACATCAAACTTAGCACTGCCATCGGTCGCGATGAGCAGACGCTCGCCCACAGTAGCGAAGTTGCGAAGATGCGCCACAATGCTCTGAAGGATGTTTTCAAAGTCCGAAGCTGCAGGAGCTGCAGGGTACTCAGTGATTTCGGCCGCAAAGAGCCGTTCACCAGCACGGGTGGAAGGAGGTGCGAGACCTTGCCGCAATCCCGTCGTTGAGGCGCAACACCAGGTGAGATGCGCCCGGCTGGGCTGCAAGAGGCCACAAACACACGCCGTGGTGTCGGGTGAGCTCATCTCCAGCCGTTTGCAGTGGTACCAGATGGAGCCGCCCGAGCCCAGTGCTGCAAGGCGAACTTCACGTGTAGGCTCAGCCGCGACTGCAAGGCGGTGACCTTCAAGCGCAAAACGAGCACTGCGAAGCGGGGCCCCCAGGCTGAGACCACGGGCCAACGTTGCATCATCGCGGTGGCCACGATTGCGGATCCGCCCACACGAATGCACGCCCTGCCACTTGTAGTGGTCCACAAGCCAGCGCTTGACCACATCAAAGGATTCCCAGCCAAGGTGGCACTGACGGAGGGTGCCCGAATCGTCGAGCCGTGCCAGGATGGCGCCATTGCCTTGGACCTGCCAGCCTAACCTTTGCACAACCGCCGCCGCACCAGGGAGGAAGCGACGCCAGTCACCACAAGCAACATCAAGCCCAGCCGTGTCGAGCCAGGCCGGGGGCCGAGCCTTAAAACGCCAGGCAGCCCGCAGGGATGCCCAGTCCGCCGCCCATTCAGGGTCCAAACTCCAGCCAAAGGAGGCACACAGCAAGACTTTAGGAGACTCGAAGGTGGCGTGCTTTTGCAGGACCGCACAAGTGGAGTGCCAGACGTCGCGCAAGCAGTCGCGGTCAGGGCAGGCGACACCACCAGCCCAAAACATGGCCGAGTGGACCAGTTGCAGCACAATGCGACGGAGCTGGGGCACCTCCCCTCCCAGGAGCTTGAGGAAGCGAAGGCGATGCAGGAGCAAGCGTGGGCTAAACTTAAGGAGCCCCAGGGCACCCTCCTGCATGTCGAGGGTGATGCCCAGCACCTTCAAAGTAGTCACGCGTGGGTAGCTCCTGGCACTGGCCCACTGATCGAAAGTCCCGACATCGGGTGGACACACCACAGCACACTTGCTGGCACGGCACTGGAAGCCGAAGGCTTGGTCAAAGGAGTCAGAAGCCCTCAATGCCACATCCATGGCCCCAAGAGGGTCCGCACACGTGCAGGAAGGCCACAGCACCCGGTCGTCAATAAAGATGAGGCAGTCGGTGCGTCCCTTGGCAAAGGACTGGACCCACATGGCCCAGATATGGCCGACCGCAACCGCGGCCATTGGGGAGAGTGGGCATCCCTGCGCCAGGCCCCGCGCCGGGCTGCCCCATGCACTGCTGGACCGGCCCTCGTGCAGAAAGAGCCTCGAGGCATCCTGGTAGAAGGAGGCTAAGAGCTCAGCGAGGCCAGCAGGAGCACCAAGGTGCCGGAGCACCATACCCACCGCCTGGACATCAAGAGAGTCGAAGAACCGTGTGAGGTCCTGCTGGCAAAAGACTTTGCCGCCGCTCTGCCACGCATGAAAAAGCCGGGCATGAGCGTCGCCCGGGCCTCTACATGGTGCACCGCCCAAGGTGTGGTGGCCCAGCCATGTGTCCATCCACGGCAGCACATTGCGAGAGATGCAGTGGGCACCCGCTCGCCAGATGACAGGGCACAAGGCGATCGGTCGGTATTCATCCAGGCGCTTCGGCACCAGGGCAATCAGTGCCCGGCGCCAGAGTCGAGGAACGTACTTCGTGGAGAGCACCGCATTCCACAGAGTGGCCGCCGCTTCCCACCACGGCACTGGGAGGCGGAGCAGAAGCTCCGCTGACCATCGGTCAGGGCCCATCGCTTTCCGCAGCATTGCCTTGGTGGCCCGCATCAGAGCCTCAGCTTCGACCTGGAGCACAATGTCCGATTGCGGCCCGCCCGGGACACGGTCAAGGATGCGTTGCACGGCATCGAAGTTGACAGGGGACTCCGGCTTCCAGTGCTGCAGCCACACTTTACCATGTTCCTCGACAATAGAGGCAGGGTGAACAGAGGAAGGGACACCAGCATGGGCCTGAGGAGATTGCTCCATGGCCAACTGATGGTCAGCTTTGCGCTTGACCCAGGCGAGGGCACGAGAAGGATCCTCCTCAACACGGCAGCGCCACCTGTGCACTCTGGCCTCCGTCTCCTGCTGCTGAAGCTCAGCATGCAAATGGGAGATCACCTGGGTGGCACCTGCAAGGTTGGCAGCATGTATCACAGGGAGGTCGGGGAAAGTGGCACGAAGGAGCCCAGCCCGGCGGCCCACCGCACGCCACAGCTTCTGACAGTGGGGCTGTTGCCGCAGTTGGTGCAATTGCCCAAGCAACTTGCGAGATGAACGGAGGGACTGGGACTCATGACCCTGGGGGCCGACACGATGGTGGGACTCGTGGCGGGCACAAGGGAGCCAGTGGTCGCTCCTGCGGGCACCGGAGGCATCGAAGAGCGAAGTGGCACCCAGCGTGCGCTCGGCCACGTCTGACAAGAAGGCCCAGGCTTCATCAAGAGCCCCACCTGCAATAGAACTCTCAAAGTGTGCGGCATCCCAGACCCTACCAAAGTTAGACAGGATGTCTTCAGTGGCCGTGGCAGGGAGCTCACGAAACTTAGGCATGGAGAAGCTGTCGGCACGGCTCAGGCACCGCGTTTCGTAGAAGACGCACCCGTGGTCCGAAAGGTGCGGGCGTTCGAACTGCTTGACAGCCGTCGCAATGATTGACCAATGGGCCAGGCCAAAATCAATGCGCCGGGTGCGCGTGGGATTTGTTGGGCCGGCTTGGGTCCAGTCCGCCTCATCCAGAGACCGGAGCTCGCCATCGCACAACAGCTGCACCACAGCTTGCTCAGACTGGTCAACATTGAAATCGCCGAGCAAGATGTAGGGGCCGCCGAAGGTCGCAGCTGCACGCCTAACCTCACCTAAGGCCTGGGCTGTGGCAGCTGGCTGACCAGGGAAACCGTAGAAGGCCACCACAAGGGTGATGCACTTGCTGCCAGCAGCCTGCATCTCAAAAGCACCTGCAGCACAGCGCGCAGCCACATGAGGAGGGAGCTTAAGGTTCACCCGATGCATGGGGAGGGAGGCGACTAAGGCTACCCTATGCACACCCTTGGCAGCATCGATGTCGCTGAGAACAGCCCGATACCCATGGGCACGCCAGCGCTCACCAAAACCCTGGGCCGACAAAGGGTTGATGTCAGCCTCCTGGAGAGACAAGAGCTCAGCCCCACACGACTGGAGGAAGTCGGCACACAGGTCCACTTTGGAGATGGCCGTGCGGTTCGCATTGATGCTCAAAAGCTTGACGAACACGGCGAGGAGGGGATTCGCATGGAGATGGCAAGCTTGGCAGCCGCGGCAGCACGGAGCACCTGGGAGCAGAAGTCGGGGTCACCTCCGGCACGCCGGGCCCACGCCTCGATGGCATCAAGTTTTTGGATCCGCTTCTGGGTGTTGCTCTGCGACTTGCACCGGCCCTCGCTATGCTGCTTGGCGGCAGCCAGGTCCCTGGTGCACTCACCGCACCGGAGGCACTTCCAACCATGCTCAAGGAGGACATGCTTGACCCGGGTGCTGCGGTTCTCACACCTGGCTCGAGGCCACACAAAGAGCTGCATCTGGTCCCCAAAGCGAGGGGTCCTGACTTGAGCGAACACGGCCTTGGTGAGGTTGCGCTGGCGGCACCCTTTGGCATGCACCTGGCGATCCTTGGGCCCGGTTTGCGGGAGTGCCGTAAGACGCTGCCACTCAGCCTTGGAGACCTCGGGGTGGGCCTGTGCACGATGCTGGTTGCGCAGGGCATAGTAGGAGAATCGAGAAAGGTCCTTCCGAGTCTCATGCGTGATGCCCTTGTTGCAGAAAGGGCAACACCAGATGAACTGAGCCCTTGGGCCGCAGACCCGCGTGAGCTTGGGTCGCCCGATGTCCGCCTGCAGGCCCTGCCCCTCATGGGCGCGCTGGTAGTGGTTGTGGCGGATGTGGTAGTACTGGTGGTTGCTCGTGGCCTTGCGCTTGTAAGGGCACAAGTTGCACCGAAAGGTGAGGTCAGCCGGTGCCGTGGCATGGGCCAGCCAAGGGCAGCGCTTCGGGGGCACACGAGCTCGCTCAAACTCGGATTCATCGAAGGCCTCGATAGTGCCAGCAGAGGTGCAGGTGAAGACGGACGAAGTGCACAGCTCAACCGCCTTGCGCTTGGTGCCTGAGGGCCTTGCCTGGGCCGTGGCCTGTGATGACCTCGCCTGTGGCTCGCCCCTGGGCCTGGTCTGGGGACCATGCAATGCCTTTGCCTTGCACCTGGCACTGGGTGGGCACGGCCTGCACCTTTGCCTGCGACGACACCCGGCTGCCTGAAGACCTTGCCTGTGACACCTGTGACCTGGGCCGCACCTTGCAAAGAGGGCTGGGCTTCGATCGAGGGCCGCCCCGCAGCACTCCCCGAGGCGCTCGCCAGACGGATGCCGGGCGAGCCTGGGATTTTGCCCCTTCGCCTTCCATGACCGAGGTCCACTGAGAGGATGGCTGGGATCGAAAACAGGCAGCAGAGGAGCAGTGAAGACCGATGGGGGCCCACGGCCACCTGCACGCAGCCCAAAGACGGGTCCAGCTGTGATCTGGGGATAGTCACTGGGATACTTCTTGTGACCCTCAGGCGGGAGCATGAGATCAACGTGGTTATCCTCGTACCACAACACCAGCATCTTGGCAGCTTTGCTATGGAAGGCGTAAGGAGAAAAGTTGAGGCCCGCCGGCAGCACGACGATTTTGATGTCCAGCACACGGCCCAGGGCCCTCAGCTCGACATCCGAGCAGTATGCCCCCTCCTTCTCCATAAGAGTGAGGTAGGCCGGGAAGTCCCGGTCCTTGACCGGCTCACTGTCCGGCCCTTTGCCGTCCCATTCCTTCTCGTACTGGGTGGCGTGCCGGCGCATGTGTTCGACCATTTGCGCACGGAGCATGCGCGGGTGATTGGGCCGAGAGTCACCAAGCCATTGAAGGCCGAGGCTTAGTGCGTGCAGCACGCAGGCTCCGTCACGAGGGCATGCCTTGAGCTGGAGGTCACCTGGCTTGGTGCGCACCTCCTGCTTGACACGTTTCTGCTGGGGCACTTCCTTGCCGTCCTCGCCCGTAGCCAGCTCCCCCGTGGGAGGTTTGACGATGGTGGCAGCGACAGGCTGCTCGAGAGCAACGACCGGGACGGCCTTCGAGGCGAGAGGCTTCTGCTTCTTGGAGACGACACGGAAAGGTGCCAGCGTTGCCCACAAGGACAAGGGCTTCTCCTGATGCTCGACGACGAACGGCACCAGGTCCGTGTCTGCGGTTGCAGGTTGCCCGCGGAAGCGAAAGCAGGACCCGAGGCGAGTGCGCCGATGCGACAGGATGGTGTACTCAGTGAAGCGTGTGGCCAAGAGCTGGCCGACGGCATCCACATCCCACTCGTGGGGCACACCATCGATGTGCCAGATGCGCACCGTTGCTTCTCCAGCTGCCATGGCACTTCGCCACGCCAATCGCCCCCCATTGACGACCAAACCCAGGCTGGAAGCCTGGCGCAGGGCACGTTCAAAGTAGGCGTCCACCTTCTCGCCGGGGAGCTTCTCGATCCATTGGAGCTTCGCCCGGGGCCCTGAGGTGCGAGCGGCATCCACGAAGACACCGTCCTTGCCAGAGTGGGCCAGGATGCCCTCAATGTCTGCCTTCGGAATGCGAACAATGCCAAAGTACTGCTCATGAGTGTCGTTGCGCTGCTTTTCCAGGACCCAGGCAAAAGTGTCGAGCACCTTGATCCTTTGGGCCGCGACCCAGTCTACAGCGGCCTTGGAGGCGTTGCCCCCGAAAGCCTTCCAAGTGTCGGCTGAGGCGAACTGCTTTGGCACCTTAAAGTAGACGACTGCACTTTCAGTGGGTTTGATCTTGATGGACGTTTGGCTCAGGCCGGTGGGCTGCGGAGCATGGCCACTGGCACCTGCAGACGTGAGCTTCTGGACCTTAGCAGTCCTGAAGACCAGGCGATCCCCAATGGTGCCCGGATGCGCTGGGCCTCCTCATCCTTGGATAGGAAAACAAGCAGGGCCTTGAAGCTCAGCCCGCTCCCCCGCAGAATGTTCGTAGCAAGCGTGACCTGGTCGGCCGAAACAAAGACTACAAGTTCGAGGACCTTGCTGGCATCAGCCTTGTCAATGAACTCAGCTAGGGCAGCATACTCGACGACCGGAGCGTCCCAATCAGATTTTCGAAGCGTGAAGGCGCCTTCCGGAGCCTTGCGCCGGACGATCTGCCAGCCATCACCGGCTTCCTGCCCGCCTGCCTCACCGCAGCCGCCCTTGCCCTTGCCCCGGCGTTGACCTGAGTCGCCTGGGCCACCGCGCTGGGCCACCTTGGCTGGGCCAGACTTGTCTCCAGGCTTGCCCTTGCCTTTGGCTGCGCTCTGGCGGCCACCTGCACGCTCGCCGCCCGAAACGTCGGGGTTGCCACCTGGGTGGCTCGTGGCCTGCTTGGCCTTACGTTTCCTCTTGCGCCTGCCCTTTGGCTCAAGCTGCACGTCTGGATCACCGGACAGCCGGGCAGCAGCCAAGCCCCCGCCGAGATTGAGCGACGCCAGGGCCTGCTTTATTGCCTCGTCAACTGCCTTCTGGATCTGCTCCTTGATCGACTTCATGATGCTATCGCCAAGGCTATCCCCAAGGTTGCCAAGGTCAAGGTTGAAACCAGGGCCAGGGTGAGAGGCCTCGCCCAGGCGGCATCCCCTCTTCCAGTCATGGCACACACAAAGCATCGGCTCACCTGCAGGGGCCCGGCGGCCTGTCACACAGCACCTAGGTGCACACTCAAACCCTAGGGGGCCTAGCGGCGCCGGGGCCGGCTGCTGGCGTCGCGGAGGACCTAGAACCCAAGAGGGGAAAGGGGGATGGCATCCAGCACCTCGGTTCGTAAGCTCAGCAGGGCCCGGGTGCGAAGCTTCGCCGAACCTAAACCCCAAATGCCAGTTCCAGGTAATCACTGCTGGTGGGCCTCGCGGACCCGGGTGCTTTGCCTCACCCACACGGACACCTTGCAGGAATGCAAAGCAGCGCTGGAGAGCAGGAAGCCCAAATTGCACACACACCGGGAGGCACTGAAGGGATTGCTGCACAGGCTGCACATGATCCACACTGGCACTAGGATAGGGCCGCCAAGAAAATCCGTGCCACAGCTCTGCTCGATCACACTGCCCACCTTGGGCCGTGGCGAGCCAGGGGGCCCCTACTCGAGGAAGTCCACACCTGCCGGTTCGCAAGAGGCAGGGGACTGACACTGACACAGGCCGCAGAGCTGCAGCACCGAGGCCATGGCGGCAAGGAGAGCTACTCTCGGAGGGGGCCCCGAACGGGCCGGTCTTAGAAAACATGTTACCAAGGAGGCAGGGAGAGGCCGGGCTAGGTGGCTCTTTGTCCTTCCACGGATCTTCTTTGATTTTTCGCGGTTCTCGGGTCGGGGCCCTTACGCTACTACATTTGGCCGCCGGCTGCAAAGGAAGAGCAGCGTCGCCATGGTTGGTCGCCTCCACTTCGGAAAGCCCAGCCAGCCCCGCATCCTCCTCAGTCTCGCAGCAGCCGGCCGCGTCGGCTCATCGTCCGCCCCAGCACCAGGTCGCCCACCAGAAGGCGGCAGCCCAGCTGCCACTTGCCCCGGCTGCCCCGCTGCTGCTGGACATTTGCATCGCGATAGGCCTCCGCCGGAGCAAGGCCAAAGTCCCCGTCAGCAAACCACAGGGTAGTGCTGGGAAATGTCCCATCGCCTGGAGGCGCCCACCCAAGGTGGTCGCCATCACACCGCTTTGTCAGCTGCTCGGTCCAGAGAAGAACGAGGGCTTCACGTTCACGAAAGAACTCATCCACAAGCACGCCGAACCCACAACTGCACTTGCATCCTCATCCTTTCCAGGAAGTCTTCGATGGAAGCATGCTCACCCTCAAGCATAGCTTTGAGAACATAGTTGCGCGGCGCAACTCCCCTGAACTTTCTGTAGCTGACAGGTAGGGTCAGCTGAGGAGGGACGTCGCGGCCTCCATGGCCACCAAATCCATCATCCTTTTCCGCTCAGCACCCACAGCGCCTCCCGAGGAAGGAGCCATGGCACAGTCGAGACAGACTTAGCCACCGAGCCTACCTACGGTGTTGTCCAGCTTGGAACTCGCGGAGTTCCTGTCTCGGGCCCAAGCTGCGTGTTCTCACGCCTAACTGCGGTTCAGGCAAGACTCGGGCATCGCAACGAAGTCCCGATCTGCGCGTCCAGTAACGTCTTTGGTTGTCGGTTGTGAGACCGAACCTAAAAGGTCAAACATGAAGCTGACAAGCAGAGGACATGTGACAGCTGTACAATCCAAGGTGCTTGAAGCTGAGGCATGAAAGACCAAACAAACTAGAGTGTTGAGGCCATATGAGCCGAAACATGGGAAACTAAGGCTCAGGAGAGCCGAGAAGAAAAGGAGGAGAGGTGCAGGGCTACACAGCAAGCGCAAACTGCCTAGCTTGCAGCATCGAATGGACCTACAGCCTAGGAACCAACAACCGCAGCCAGCAGCCAGCCGCCAGAAGGAGGGAGCACCGTAGAAGCCAGTCACCACAAGCAACATCGTCCCTGCAGCCCAGCCGTGTCACGAGCCAGGATGCCGGGGGCGCACGAGAGACGCAGGCAGCCCGCAGGGATCGCCCAGCCGACCGCCACAGGCATCACCGAAGAACATCCAGCCAAAAGGGCGCCGACAGCAAACTTAGCAGGCCATCAAGGTGATGAGCAGACGCTCACCACAGTAGCACAAGTGCGAAGAGCCACAATGCTCTGAAGGGTGTTTTCAAAGTCCAAGCCTGCGGAGCTGCAGGGTACTCAGTGATTTCGGCCGCAAAGGCCGTTCACCAGCAGGGTGGTAGGAGGTGCGAGACCTTGCCGCACTCCCGTCGTTGAGGAGCAACACCAGGGAGATGCGCTCGCTGGCTGCAAGAGGCCAGCACACGCCGTGGTGTCGGGTGAGCTCATCTCCAGCCGTTTGCAGTGGTACCAGATGGAGCCGCCCGAGCCCAGTGCTGCAAGGCGAACTTCACGTGTAGGCTCAGCCGCAACTGCGAGTCGGTGGCCTTCAAGTGCAAACCGGGCACTGCGGAGTGGGGACCCAGGCACCGGCAACGTTGCATCATCGCGGTGGCCACGATTGCGGATCCGCCCACACGAATGCACGCCCTGCCACTTGTAGTGGTCCACAAGGTCCTGACTGGGAGTCGCGCCTGCCGGCTGCTCTGAAGCAGTGACAGCCAGGGGGGATGCCCCCGGCCCCTCGAGCACGGTGCGTGCCATGCCTGGCAGGGTCCAAGGAATCCAAGGTTGAGGTCAGGCTCGTGGGAACAGAGGACCACTGCAAAGCGGACGGCCCAGAACCACCGCAGGTGCCTGAGGAGATTGCTCCATGGCCAACTGATGGTCAGCTTTGCGCTTGACCCAGGCGAGGGCACGAGAGGGATCCTCCTCAACACGGCGACGCCACCTGTGCACTCTGGCCTCCGTCTCCTGCTGCTGAAGCTCGGCATGCAAATGAGAGATCACCTGGGTGGCACCTGCAAGGTTGGCAGCATGTATCACAGGGAGGTCGGGGAAAGTGGCACGCAGGAGCCCAGCCCGGCGGCCCACCGCACGCCACAGCTTTTGACAGTGGGGCTGTTGCCGCAGTTGGTGCAATTGCCCAAGCAACTTGCGAGATGAACGGAGGGACTGGGACTCATGACCCTGGGGGCCGACACGATGGTGAGACTCGGGGCGGGCACAAGGGAGCCAGTGGTCGCTCCTGCGGGCACCGGAGGCATCGAAGAGCGAAGTGGCACCCAGCGTGCGCTCGGCCACGTCTGACAAGAAAGCCCAGGCTTCATCAAGAGCCCCACCTGCAATAGAACTCTCAAAGTGTGCGGCATCCCAGACCCTACCAAAGTTAGACAGGATGTCTTCAGTGGCCGTGGCAGGGAGCTCACGAAACTTAGGCATGGAGAAGCTGTCGGCACGGCTCAGGCACCGCGTTTCGTAGAAGACGCACCCGTGGTCCGAAAGGTCCGGGCGCTCGAACTGCTTGACAGCCGTCGCAATGATTGACCAATGGGCCAGGCCAAAATCAATGCGCCGGGTGCGCGTGGGATTTGTTGGGCCGGCTTGGGTCCAGTCCGCCTCATCCAGAGACCGGAGCTCGCCATCGCACAACAGCTGCACTACAGCTTGCTCAGACTGGTCAACATTGAAATCGCCGAGCAAGATGTAGGGGCCGCCGAAGGTCGCAGCTGCACGCCTAACCTCACCTAAGGCCTGGGCTGTGGCGGCTGGCTGACCAGGGAAGCCGTAGAAGGCTACCACAAGGGTGATGCACTTGCTGCCAGCAGCCTGCATCTCAAAAGCACCTGCAGCACAGCGCGCAGCCACATGCGGAGGAAGCTTAAGGTTCACACGATGCATGGGGAGGGAAGCGACCAGTGCCACCCTATGCACACCCTTGGCAGCATCAATGTCGCTGAGAACAGCCCGATAGCCATGGGCATGCCAGCGCTCACCAAAACCCTGGGCCAACAAAGGGTTGATGTCAGCCTCCTGAAGAGACAAGAGCTCAGCCCCACACGACTGGAGGAAGTCGGCACACAGGTCCACTTTGGAGATGGCCGTGCGGTTCGCATTGATGCTCAAAAGCTTGATGAACACGGCGAGGAGGGGATTCGCATGGAGATGGCAAGCTTGGCAGCCGCGGCAGCACGGAGTACCTGGGAGCAGAAGTCGGGATCACCTCCGGCACGCCGGGCCCACGCCTCGATGGCATCAAGTTTTTGGATCCGCTTCTGGGTGTTGCTCTGCGACTTGCACCGGCCCTCGCTATGCTGCTTGGCGGCAGCCAGGTCCCTGGTGCACTCACCGCACCGGAGGCACTTCCAACCATGCTCAAGGAGGACATGCTTGACCCGGGTGCTGCGTTTCTCACACCTGGCTCGAGGCCACACAAAGAGCTGCATCTGGTCCCCAAAGCGAGGGGGCCTGACTTGAGCGAACACGGCCTTGGTGAGGTTGCGCTGGCGGCACCCTTTGGCATGCACCTGGCGATCCTTGGGCCCGGTTTGCGGGAGTGCCGCAAGACGCTGCCACTCAGCCTTGGAGACCTCGGGGTGGGCCTGTGCACGATGCTGGTTGCGCAGGGCATAGTAGGAGAATCGAGAAAGGTCCTTCCGAGTCTCGTGCGTAATGCCCTTGTTGCAAAAAGGGCAACACCAGATGAACTGAGCCCTTGGGCCGCAAACCCGCGTAAGCTTGGGTCGCCCGATGTCCGGCTGCAGGCCCTGCCCCTCATGGGCACGCTGGTAGTGGTTGTGGCGGATGTGGTAGTACTGGTGGTTGCTCGTGGCCTTGCGCTTGTAAGGGCACAAGTTGCACCGAAAGGTGAGGTCAGCCGGTGCCGTGGCATGGGCCAGCCAGGGGCAGCGCTTCGGGGGCACACGAGCTCGCTCAAACTCGGATTCATCGAAGGCCTCGATAGTGCCAGTAGAGGTGCAGGTGAAGACGGACGAAGTGCACAGCTCTACCGCCTTGCGCTTGGTGCCTGAGGGCCTTGCCTGGGCCGTGGCCTGTGATGACCTCGCCTGTGGCTCGCCCCTGGGCTTGGTCTGGGAACCATGCAATGCCTTTGCCTTGCACCTGGCACTGAGTGGGCCCGGCCGGGAAAGGGCCTGCACCTTTGCCTGCGACGGCACCCGGCTGCCTGAAGACCTTGCCTGTGAAACCTGTGACCTGGGCCGCCTACCTTGCAAAGAGGGCTGGGCTTCGATCGAGGGCCGCCCCGCAGCACTCCCCGAGGCGCTCGCCGGGATCGAGGTGGTCCAGACGGATGCCGGGCGAGCCTGGGATTTTGCCCCTTCGCCGTCCATGACCGAGGTCCACTGAGAGGAAGGCTGGGATCGAACACAGGCAGCAGAGGAGGCAGTGAAGACCGATGGGGGCCCACGGCCACCTGCACGCAGCCCAAAGACGGGTCCAGCTGTGATCTGGGCATACTCACTTGGATACTTCTTGTGACCCTCAGGCGGGAGCATGAGATCTACGTGGTTATCCTCGTACCACAACACCAGCATCTTGGCAGCTTTGCTATGAAAAGCGTAAGGAGAAAAGTTGAGGCCCGCCGGCAGCACGACGATTTTGATGTCCAGCACACGGCCCAGGGCCCTCAGCTCGACATCCGAGCAGTACGCCCCCTCCTTCTCCATAAGAGTGAGGTAGGCCGAAAAGTCCCGGTCCTTGACCGGCTCACTGTCCGGCCCTTTGCCGTCCCATTCCTTATCGTACTGGGTGACATGCCGGCGCATGTGTTCGACCATTTGCGCACGGAGCATGCGCGGGTGATTGGGCCGAGAGTCACCAAGCCATTGAAGGCCGAGGCTTAGTGCGTGCAGCACGCAGGCTCCGTCACGAGGGCATGCCTTGAGCTGGAGGTCACCTGGCTTGGTGCGCACCTCCTGCTTGACACGTTTCTGCTGGGGCACTTCCTTGCCGTCCTCGCCCGTAGCCAGCTCCCCCGTGGGAGGTTTGACAATGGTGGCAACGACAGGCTGCTCGAGAGCAACGACCGGGACGGCCTTCGAGGCGAGAGGCTTCTGCTTCTTGGAGACGACACGGAAAGGTGCCAGCGTTGCCCACAAGGACAAGGGCTTCTCCTGATGCTCGACGACGAACGGCACCAGGTCCGTGTCTGCGGTTGCAGGTTGCCCGCGGAAGCGAAAGCAGGACCCGAGGCGAGTGCGCCGATGCGACAGGATGGTGTACTCAGTGAAGCGTGTGGCCAAGAGCTGGCCGACGGCATCCACATCCCACTCGTGGGGCACACCATCGATGTGCCAGATGCGCACCGTTGCTTCTCCAGCTGCCATGGCACTTCGCCACGCCAATCGCCCCCCATTGACGACCAAACCCAGGCTGGAAGCCTGGCGCAGGGCACGTTCAAAGTAGGCGTCCACCTTCTCGCCGGGGAGCTTCTCGATCCATTGGAGCTTCGCCCGGGGCCCTGAGGTGCGAGCGGCATCCACGAAGACACCGTCCTTGCCAGAGTGGGCTAGGATGCCCTCAATGTCTGCCTTCGGAATGCGAACAATGCCAAAGTACTGCTCATGAGTGTCGTTGCGCTGCTTTTCCAGGACCCAGGCAAAAGTGTCGAGCACCTTGATCCTTTGGGCCGCGACCCAGTCTACAGCGGCCTTGGAGGCGTTGCCCCCGAAAGCCTTCCAAGTGTCGGCTGAGGCGAACTGCTTTGGCACCTTAAAGTAGACGACTGCACTTTCAGTGGGTTTGATCTTGATGGACGTTTGAGCATGGCCACTGGCACCTGCAGACGTGAGCTTCTGGACCTTAGCAGTCCTGAAGACCAGGCGATCCCCAATGGTGCCCGGGATGCGCTGGGCCTCCTCATCCTTGGATAGGAAAACAAGGCAGGGCCTTGAAGCTCAGCCCGCTCCCCCGCAGAATGTTCGTAGCAAGCGTGACCTGGTCGGCCGAAACAAAGACTACAAGTTCGAGGACCTTGCTGGCATCAGCCTTGTCAATGAACTCAGCTAGGGCAGCGTACTCGACGACCGGAGCGTCCCAATCAGATTTTCGAAGCTTGAAGGCGCCTTCCGGAGCCTTGCGCCGGACGATCTGCCAGCCATCACCGGCTTCCTGCCCGCCTGCCTCACCACAGCCGCCCTTGCCCTTGCCCCGGCGTTGACCTGAGTCGCCTGGGCCACCGCGCTGGGCCACCTTGGCTGGGCCAGACTTGTCCTCAGGCTTGCCCTTGCCTTTGGCTGCGCTCTGGCGGCCACCTGCACGCTCGCCGCCCGAAACGTCGGGGTTGCCACCTGGGTGGCTCGTGGCCTGCTTGGCCTTACGTTTCCTCTTGCGCCTGCCCTTTGGCTCGAGCTGCACGTCTGGATCGCCGGACGGCCGGGCAGCAGCCAAGCCCCGGCCGAGATTGAGCGACGCCAGGGCCTGCTTAACTGCCTCGTCAACTGCCTTCTGGATCTGCTCCTTGATCGACTTCATGATGCTATCGCCAAGGCTATCCCCAAGGTTGCCAAGGTCAAGGTTGAAACCAGGCCCAGGGTGAGAGGCCTCACCCAGGCGGCATCCCCTCTTCCAGTCGTGGCACACACAAAGCATCGGCTCGCCTGCAGAGGCCCGGCGGCCTGTCCACACTCAAACCCTAGGGGGCCTAGCGGCGCCGGGGCCGGCTGCTGGCGTCGCGGAGGACCTAGAACCCAAGAGGGGAAAGGGGGATGGCATCCAACACCTCGGTTCGTAGGCTCAGCAGGGCCCGGGTGTGAAGCTTCGCCGAACCTAAACCCCAAATGCCAGTTCCAGGTAATCACTGCTGGTGGGCCTCGCGGACCCGGGTGCTTTGCCTCACCCACACGGACACCTTGCAGGAATGCAAAGCAGCGCTGGAGAGCAGGAAGCCCAAATTGCACACACACACCGGGAGGCACGGAAGGGATTGCTGCACAGGCTGCACATGATCCACACTGGCACTAGGATATGCATGCGCTTGCGGCACCGTCCAGATGGGGCCGCCAAGAAAATCCGTGCCACAGCTCTGCTCGATCGCACTGCCACCTTGGGCCGTGGCGCCCAGGGGGCCCCCGAGGAAGTCCACACCTGCCGGTTCGCAAGAGGCAGGGGACTGACACTGACACAGGCCGAGAGCTGCAGCACCGAGGCCATGGCGGCAAGGAGAGCTACTCTCGGAGGGGGCCCCGAACGGGCCGGTCTTAGAAAACATGTTACCAAGGAGGCAGGGAGAGGCCGGGCTAGGTGGCTCTTTGTCCTTCCACGGATCTTCTTTGATTTTTCGCGGTTCTCGGGTCGGGGCCCTTACGCTACTACATCTGGCCGCCGGCTGCCAAGGAAGAGCAGCGTCGCCATGGTTGGTCGCCTCCACTCCGGGAGGCCCAGCCAGCTCCGCATCCTCCTCAATCTCGCCAGCAGCCGGCTGCGTCACCAGCTCAGCGTCCGCACCAGCACCAGGTCGCCCACCAGAAGGCGGCAGCGCTGCTGCCACTTGCTCCCGGCTGCCCCGCTGCTGCTGGACACTTGCATCGCGATAGGCCTCCGCCGGAGCAAGGCCAAAGTCCCCGTCAGCAAACCACAGGGTAGTGCTTGGGAAATGTCCCATCGCCTGGAGGCGCTCCACCCAAGGGGGGTCGCCATCACACCGCTTTGTCAGCTGCTCGGTCCAGAGAAGAACGAGGGCTTCACGTACACGAAAGAGCTCATCCACAAGCACAGCCGATCCCACAACTGCACTGGCATCCTCATTGAGCCTTTCCAGGAAGTCTTCGATAGAAGCATGCTCACCCTCAAGCATAGCTTTGAGAACATAGTTGCGCGGCGCAACTCCCCTGAACTTTCTGTAGCTGACAGGTAGGGTCAGCTGAGTACTCGACGTCGCGGCCTCCATGGCCGCCAAATCCATCATCCTTTTCCGCTCAGCACCCACAGCGCCTCCCGAGGAAGGAGCCATGGCACAGTCGAGACAGACTTAGCCACCGAGCCTACCTACGGTGTTGTCCAGCTTGGAACTCGCGGAGTTCCTGTCTCGGGCCCAAGCTGCGTGTTCTCACGCCTTGAGCCGAACCTTCGAGCCTTGAGGGTTAGGGATGGGTTAAAGGGAAATATAAAATCACTGGAAAACGCTGACGTCCAATCATATCCACAATCACGAAGCTCCAAGCTAAAGCTCAAGTGAAGACAAGCGGAATCAGCAATCGTTTAATCTCCAATCACTGCGCTTCAGAAGTGAGGCTGCCGAAGATGCCAGATGTTTTCAATCGGTGCGTCGAACTGATGTCTGCCTCGAAGCGATGCGCCACATGTTCACATGACGGTCGCAGTTGCCTCGAGACCTCCCCCGAAGGAAGGCAGCCAGTCCGACATGTGAAGATCACCAAGGTGTTTTGCTCGTCTCCTTCTCCCGGCGAGACATCGCCGACTCCCTCGAGACCAATCGCTGCAAGCTGACACGCGAATCCAAGAAAGCACTCCTGGAGTGGACCATGCGAAGGAAAATGTCAAGCAGCAGATCGTCCAGCTTCAAAGGAACCCTCAGCTCCGGGCAGAATCCTGATGTTGTCGTGCACCCCCGCTGTCTCCTTTCCCAGATGATCAAATACTTTCAGCGCCGCAAGCGAGGCCAGCATCTCTGCACTCGTCGATGCCCACTGGCTGGCATTCGCATTCAGTGCAGCATGCGCATGGAAGTCTGCCAGGCCCAGTGCTTCCTTTGCAAGGGGTGCCACGCCCACCCACATCAGTGCCGGGCCCAGGAGGCTCAGCGAGACCAGTCGTGGGCCTTTCGCGCCCAGAGTCGCAGCAGCACCGCTGCATAATCCGCTTCCCCGCCCAGATTTAGTCGTGTAGGCTGGGATTGTGGTCCTTCACCAAACCCCGTTCCCTTCAGGGCAGCTGACTATCAGGCCTCGGCCCCTGGAGATGTCCAATACAGTGGCAATCAATGCACCTTCTGCATGATGCACCGGCTCGGAGTTTCAGCTCGATCAATGAGGGTCATGCAAAGCAGTTTGAGCAGGGCAAGATCATTTGGGAAATGCTCAAGCCCAGGCTGCTGCCAATCTCAGATTGTCTTACAGACTTGTCAGGTTCCTTTCACGGCGACGTGCTTGAGAAGCTTTGCTGGTCATGCACAAAGAGGGCAGCCAAGTAGGCAACTTAAGGCAATGCGCTGGGCACGCAAGGCACTCGCTGTCCGCCTTCCTGTGAAAAACAGAGCGCGCAGCACTCGGTCTTTTTCTTGAGCCAAAGCGGAGTCGCGTCGGACTCTAACTGACAGTGAAACACGCAGCTGTCTGTCTCCAAGCAAAACACAACAAGTACTAACGAAACGAGACGAAACGAACGTGCAGTCACTTTCTAACTCAAAAGCACTCCTAACAGCTTCAGGCATGCCGAAAACATCAGGACCTTGGGATTTTCGACCCTCGCACGCCCTTTTGGGTCCGGAGCGGAGCTCTACGGGTAGTCAGGGTGAAACTGGAGCCTACCGCACACCTTTCTGGGAGAAACTCGCCAGAACGGGTGCCCAAAAGAAAGTCTGGGTTTTACTCGAGGGAGGTGCTCAACCTTGAAACCAGACAGACCTATGGGAAGAAACTCACCCACTGCAGAAGAAAACTCACCGTATTGGATGCCTTGAGAAGGTGGAAAAGTCTCACCTGCTTCGTTGTGGGACTAGCGGAGAAACTCACCCTGTCTTCAAACTGAACTTTGTAAGGGGAGAAACTCACCCTTGAGCGTTTGACTATTGCATCTCACTATGAGTTTACCGGTCAACCATTACATCCAATGCCTCAAAGCGGTCGTGGTAGAACTGGAGGCTTTCGAAGTGTTAATGGCGCCTGGAGCCACATTTGCCTTTAGTTCTGGTGCCACACGGCTCTAGTCGCAAGCAGGGCTTCATCTTCTCGACTTTGGCGAAAGCAATCTGGGCATTTCCTACAACACTTCTGCAGAGCCTTACCCCGCAGCGCAGTTTTACGACCTACTCAGCTGGAAAACAATCCTGCCTGGACCACAAATAGCAGGGTTTCCACAGTCTTGCCCAAAAAGCATGCTCTTTGCATTGCACGCTGGATCCATACTGTCTGCTCTGGCATTTCCAAAGAAGCTTTGAGAAGGTGGAAAAGCTTCATCTGCTTCGTTTTGGAGAGAAACTCACCCTGTCTTCAACTAACTGGGGAGAAACACTCTTAAGCGCTTGACTGTTGCATCTCACTTTTTCAGCTCGTCACTGCTCAAAAATTGGTCGTCTGGAGAGTTTACGTCAACCATAACACCCAAAGCTTCAAAGCGGTTGTGGTAGAACTGGCTTTCACTTGCAAGAGTAGCGAAAGCCTTCTCTGCATCTTTGGAAATGCCAGAACAGACAGTATGGATCCAGCGTGCTGCTTTTTGGGCAAGACTGTGAAATCCTGCCATTTGTTGTGAAAAACAGAGCGCGCAGCACTCGGTCTTTTTCTTGAGCCAAAGCGGAGTCGCGTCGGGCTCTGACTGACAGTGAAACACCTTGCAGCTGTCTGTCTCCAAGCAAAACACTTCAAGCACTAACGAAACGAGACGAAACGAACGTGCAGTCACTTCCTAACTCAAAAGCACTCCTCACAGCTTCAGGCATGCCGAAAACATCAGGACATCCAAGGTCAAATGGGATTTTCACGCTCGAGCGGTCGGTCCGCTGGGCTGAGCCCAGTTCGAGTCAGGGTGAGACGAAGTTTGAGGGGAGTCACCTCACCCTGAGTTCTGAGCCTAGTCCACTTTGGGAGCGGCGAGTTTCTCTAGACCAGTCTGACATCAGGTGATGTCCTTAAACAGCACCCTCGGCACAGACTGGTCGAGCTCACCTGCCTACTGCGGTTGCCCTCAGCCTACCTTCCAAGGAGTCTCCTCACTTTGAGCTAGGCGGCAACAAAAGGGGTGCAAGGGAGGTATCTCTTCTTTGTGGTGTGGTGGTTTTCAAGCTCCTATAAATCTTCTTCGTTCTCACCGGGGGAAAATCTTATAGCCCCATTCATACTATAACATAAATGTCAATATGTCTCAGCAAATATGTTGACCTCTTAGAGGTCTATAAATTATGAAATCTTCCAATCACAATATACATATTTGAAAAGGGATCGGTCCTTTCTTCTTTCAAGCGATCTGGGGTCTCACGAGGCTGCGCTGCTGCACCAAAAAGGTTTGAAGTCTCCCGGCCACTCTCACTGTGGCCTTCAAGCGAGCCCCAAACCCGGGTGGGCTGGGAGGGCAAAAAAATTTTTCTCTCGCCCTTGAGGAGCAGCGCAGCCATAGAACAATTCTCAACAAGTCCATGCTTCGCACGTGAAAAATTTTCTTCAACACTAAACAAATTCTTCAAAGAGAGCATGTATAAAATCATGCACCATGAGCTCTAGAAAACCCGCACTCTCCCCGTGCTGACCACCCCCCAAAAGAAAGACTAGTCGGCACGCCGAAGACGCCCTTCTTTGTGGTGTGGTGGTTTTCAAGCTCCTATAAATCTTCTTCGTTCTCACCGGGGGAAAATCTTATAGCCCCATTCATACTATAACATAAATGTCAATATGTCTCAGCAAATATGTTGACCTCTTAGAGGTCTATAAATTATGAAATCTTCCAATCACAATATACATATTTGAAAAGGGATCGGTCCTTTCTTCTTTCAAGCGATCTGGGGTCTCACGAGGCTGCGCTGCTGCACCAAAAAGGTTTGAAGTCTCCCGGCCACTCTCACTGTGGCCTTCAAGCGAGCCCCAAACCCCAGATCATCTCACGCTCGGTTGAAGGCCTGGATTCTTCCAACAAGCTCTTCAAGTCTCGAGAAGGGTTGCACACAAGATGCTCCGACCGTCACCAAAGACTCCTCTCCTTGGTCTCTCGACGGCGCATCCCCCGGATTGGAGTAGGATGGGACTCTGCAACCCCACCACATGGATGGCCATTCTCTGTCGAGCTCAGAGAACACTCGGGCTAAAGTGTGCATGGCCCAACTGCGGCTGGCGCCCTTGATCATGACACCTCTGGTTGCATCGTTGTCCACCCACCACACTATGCGGCGAGACGACACAAGAGCATTCAGCTGCAGCAGGGAAGCTAGCACAGCAAACATCTCGATCTCGCAGATGAGCTGCTCTCCTACCTCTGCTTTCCAAGATTCAAGCAACTGCGACGGGACCTTTCCTGTGAAGACCCAGCCCGTTCCACTGAAGCAATCATGGGCGGCTAGACCAATGCCTCCAACATCAGCTTCCCACGATCCGTCGGTCCAAAGATGGATGATGTCAGTTATCATCGCACAGCTCAAGACTCTAGGGTTCTCGTGCTTCAGCAAAGAAACGGTGTGTTTGCAAAAGTCACTAAGGTCCCTAGGACTAAAGTGCAGACCCCCAACAATCCTCGCAAGAATGTGCGACGCATGCTTCAGCGATCGGCCTGCGTAAAAGCCCGAGGCGTACTGCAACAGGCCTTGGATGACCTGAGCCTCGTGTCGTCGGATTTCTCCTTTCAAGCTGATCTCCTGAAGACGGTCAACAATCCTCTCTATCCTGCCCTGTTTGTTGGCTAAGACTACAGTACCCTTAGCAAGATCACCTAAACCCAAATGCATACCAAGGACGTCGAAGTCCGATGCAAAGGGTCGTCCTTTCGCGCCCGTCTTGGCGTGACGCCAACCTAGGGCGTCCAAAAACGCACTCGCCGCGGTGTCGGCGTTGTCCGCACTTCCTGCCGGCGACATCAGAGGATAGTCATCAAAGAAGACGGCAGCTGGTATACATAGAAGTTTGTTCAAGAGAAACCACAAGGCTCTAGAAACCCTATTGAAGGCATAAACCGCTGCAGTACTGCCGAACATCAGTGAGTTCGAAACATATAGGGCATCCTTTCCATCCGATTGCCTAACTGCAATCACTGAAAGAGGTCGGTGGCTCGGATGGATAGCAAGTTGTTTGT